GGGGGGGGGGGGAGGAGATCAGGGATGGCAGGAATTGGACTCACAATGGTGAAGCACATGACGAATGCATATAGACAAGCCCAGGGGTGCTGCTTGACCGCCGTCCACATGCCCATTCCATGTTCGCGGACCTCGCCGTCGACCGCATCGCTCATGAGATCCGGGTTGACCAAGACCTCGGAATGGTCAACGCCGGCTTTGTCGCCCTGGTGCAAGTCGCTCTTGGCCTCCTCGACCAGGATGTCGGAATGATGGACATCGCCCTGATCCCCCTGGCGCAACCCACTTTTTGACTTGTCGCCATCCGACGACATTTTTCTGGATTTCTATGTGCCAATGTGAGGGAAAACAGACAGAAAGCAAAGACCCGAGGGAAAGGCGAAGTTGGGTTCTAAATTTTCACCCACCTAACTTGTATATATGGCATCCGGTTCCAGTGTGCCACACACTCCTGATCGACCCAGGCTCCGGTGGTGGTGGAACGTTTGTGCCTCACGTTCGAAGCTGTGCCGAGCAGCACACCACCGCAGCACGTCTCAAGATCCTGTTCTGTCTTGCTTGCTGCCTCTCCCCTTCGGTTGAGCCATACATGGGGCATTGTGTCACTCCGTGTCCCAATAGAAAAGGAAGAGAACGATCTGGGTCCTTGGGAAATACCACCAGAGAGTGTAACCTAACCTGCAGTCACTTCTTGCTTGGAAGCCAGTCACGCGTTGAAAGTTTTAAGCGAGGTTCACGTTCCACAATCCCATGTGGCATTGTGCTTTTCGGAGAGAACCTACGACAGGCTATTTAACCACCTGACGGGGGAACTGGAAAGTATGTGTGAAGGCTGGAGGGATAGCCGGATCGATGGAAAGACAGCGTCCGTGCGTGTGCATCCTTCGACTGCGTCTGTATAGAAACTCAGAGAAAGCATCTTAAGGACTATGAAGCGAGGCTTCCACCAGTCTCTGATCCGTCCTGCCTTCGATCAGTTAGCCTCCCTAGATAGGTGACCTATCTTTGCTGTATTTGCTCTTTGGGCTGGTCCAGCAGTAGGTGGTCCTCACAGCAGGAGCCTGTCTGGATCTTGATGGGCTTTGCTATACCTTTACGTGGGCATTCTTAACCCTCCTTGAGAAACTTCGAAACTGACGACTTGTAGAAGAACAAAGGATCACGAGGTTGGTATATGGCGAAAACCCAGGTGAATAACAATGTTGCATTAGTGTTCCCCCCGCCTTCAGCCCATCATCGAGAATGTGGAGACGATGGGATGGTGGAGCAACCAATGCGGGGTGAGTCGTACTTTTGCCCGGTGGACGAGCCACGACAAGCTTCAGGCCTTCAGACGTGATGCCACGAACCTTTGCCATGTTTGAAGCAGAGCGGATCGTGGTATGTCTGACCCAGATTCACAATTTGCACTCTAGAATCTCCTGGAAATTAGCTGCAAGACACACTGATGTTCGCTTAGTGTTGCCTCTGGATACCGAAGCCGTGCGCAACCGCCATCTGCCCTATTCAGAACTCCTCGTCGGAGGCACCGAGTCCACTGACTACACCATGGTATCACTGATGGTCCGATGAAACTGAAACAAGGTTTGAATTTGCATGCCGCCCGCCAAAGCCGATGGAGTCCTTCGCCTCCATACAAGAAGTCTGATCGCCTGATAGGGCTTGCTGCATGAGGCTCCACCGGAGCGAAAAAGGGCTTGTTTGTTTAAGCGATCGACATTCTGGCTCCTTCGGGGCGATGAAGAGCCGATCATGTGGCCGTAGCTAAAATGAAAGCAGTTGTCTGCTTCCTAGACAAATGGCCGCATTGTTTGGTTCTGATCCCCTTGGACATCATAATGCACCATGAACTATTACCGAGGCGGCCTCCCTGTTGCTTTGTTGAAAGGAGGCACGTCGCTCTCCACCTCCACCTCTGACGCATGATCCTTCAAGAATTGCTTTGCAAGAGACTGATTCGCTCGAAGATATTGTGCAAAATAGTGGCTGTTCTCGGTTCTCTCCAATAATGGCGAAAGGCAGATGTTCAATATGACAGTCTCTTCAATTGGCTTCGCTGCTACGTATGAGTCTGGGGCACGTGCCAGATATACACACTCTTGACATGAAGCCCTCGGCGAGCACTTGATGCCATGTGGTTGAGAATACCATTCAATGTTGGGGTGCTTGCATGGCCCGTTGCCCCGGAATTTTCTCACCTCCAGTAGAGCGGACAGGTGGCTTTGGTGATCAACCATGCGCGGTCCAGCACCTCCAACACAGCCTCTGGCAAAGGGCCTTTCTCGAGGTCGGCCAAATTCGATCTGAGCTGATCGCGCGAGCTAACTCCAATCACGATTCCGTCATGCCCGTCGTCGATGACTTTCAGCTTGCTGTGGTGCACGAGCCACCGGAAGGCGATCTCCAGCAGGGACAGATGGTGGGCGGCCGCCACGGGCTCGATCAAGCTCAACGCCTCGAAATTGGTGTCCTTGAAATACCGCTCACGGTACATCTCGCCGATGCGCGGATCCGTCTGGGCAAAGCGGCCATCGACCGGCACCGTTTTGCTCTTGTACTTGCCACTTAAGACTCCGCCCGCCAGGGGGTTGTAGGCGACGATGTCAATGCCATATTTCCGGCAGCACGGTACCAACTCGTCCTCGATGGCCCGGGTGATGGCGTTGTACATGGCTTGGTACACTGAGGGCTTGACGAAACCTTTCTGATTGGCGATGTTCCAGATCTCGGCGACCTCCCAGGCAGCGTAATTGCTCAGCCCTAGTTGTTTGAACTTCCCCGCTCGGTACAGATCATCACACGCCTGCAGCGTTTCCTCATAAGGGACGGATCGATCGGGCGCGTGGAGATAGAAGATGTCCACCTGGTCCGTTCCGAGATTCCTTAGACTCGTCCCCAGGATCTCCTTGAGTTTGGCTTCCCTATGCCAGCCGGGCTGTTCGGGGTAGCATTTCGTGGCGAGGACCAGCTGTCTCTCTCGCCACTGGGCCGCTTTGGTGAAGCCTTCCTGTTGCCCTTTCACGTACTGGCGCGCTGTGTCGACTTCACGGTATCCATTCGCCTGGTAGTCATCGAGGCACGCGTTGAAATCGTCTAGAGATGTAATCCTCGAGCCATAGAATTCCGATCCAGGTGGACCAAAGGTCAGGAGGCCGAGTATGACCCGGGGTTTCTTGGTGGGATTATCATCGACAGACATTGTGAACAGGCCGGAAGAGTTTAAGAGTTGCTTTTAGTCCGAATCTTCAGTCTCGTTCGACTCTGGTGGCTCTACACAGGCGTGCGGAATATTCGGTTTCATTTTTATTGACTGTGGCATGTAGTCGGGACAAGATCCGAGCAAGGGGAATCCCAGTGGAAGTTCGGGGCGCATCATCGGGAAGGAACCCGAGGTATCGGAAGCGGGATCGTCCGGTGTGATGCCATTCCAATAGGATATACTGAAGCCCGATGGTTGAAAATCATGTGGGGGTGCTGGCACACTTGGTTCCAAACACCAGACACTGTCAGTCACGATTTCAATGTTGGAAGGAAATGCCGAGTACACAGGTACCGTGCGAGGGTGCATCGCCATCCATTCTGGAACCTGGGTCCAGCCGCGAGAAGTCTACACCCAAGCAGTCTGGTAGACATAGGACTCAATCCCCGTATGTATATACGTAGGGTGCCCGCGTGCAAGCCACCTTGACTGTGGTCAGTGAATGAACACTGGAGGTTGGAGAATGCTGAGCTGTCACCGAAATAGCGGTGCCTGTTATAAACGAAGCCACATCACTCAACAGATAGCACACAAGCAGGGTCAGGTCTTCTGGTAATCCGAGCCTCTGAATCGGTACCGCTTGCTTAAGGTATGAAACTCTTCTACCAGTTCTGCAGTGGTACCAATAACGGCAACACCGCCACCTAGCTGAGCGATTGTTTTGGCGCATGCGAAGCCAATACCGCGCCCTCCTCCGGTAATCAGAAAATCTCTGTTGATCAGGCTCAAGCGATCGGTGATTTTGAAATCGCTGGGGTCTTGCATTGTCGCCATGGCGTATGGTTGCCTCCAGTTCAAGGGTCTTTATCGGGCAATAGTTGTGTAACAAACAAGAAAGAGATATCCTACCGAAATAAGCTTAATCTACCCAAGCCGAGCCTTGAAAGTTCGACTCTGGATCAATAAAGGTAGACATAGCTTCCGGCCCGGGTCAGGTGTCGGTCTGCCACGGATCGGCTCCCGTAGCGTTATCCTGATCTCAACGCTTATTGAAGTGAGTGGTAATTTCGAGGCGGGCATGCGGCATCATTTTGTGTCTGATTGTACGGGGGTACTGAGGGCCACCGACAGATATAGCGACATAGAGTGCGAGCCAACTGCTAGCTGGTAGCTACAGGAGGTAAACCCATAGTTATCAAGAAGGAAACCTGCTCTCCCTGTGCTTCCAAAGATGGTGTAGCCGATCCCAGAGAAAGTTTGGCAAGCCGTGACAGGGAAGATGTAGGCCCTCAACGAATAACGAATGAGTTAAAGGTACATTGAAGGTAAGTTGCCCAGGGTGAATGAAAGATGAGAAGGCGGGTTAAAGCTGAGTAGGAGGTTGAGGTTGTGTGTAAAAGCGGCGATTTACCTTGTCCGTTTTTAGCGCCAAGACTTCTCATCTAACCTCGGCTGTTATGGTGGAAGCGTTCCCTCGCAGATTGATCGACTTTGGATTCGCATCCGCAGATACCTACTATGTTTCCGTGCAAGTAGACACCGGTAGGCCATGGACAGGTCGCTTGCGACTTTACTGAGGTCCCTGCAGACATCGGATCATCCAGATGATGCCGCACGGTAAGCGACAGAACAACTTGATCGACCCCGGTTTTGCTAAGTGACTTCAGATTACTACCAGTGGCTACCGGCCTTCTGTCGCGCCTTTCGAATCCTCTCAATATCACGCTGTTGACATCACAGCTACTGTCGAATGACGTGCTCTATCCGATCCCAACAGAGGTCGCCCGGTGTCGGCAGATTTTCAGCGTCTTTTATACTGCGGTGCTGCGCTTGATTGAAGATAAACATAGCCTGGCTCAAGAACATACGCGGAGCAATCTCACAGTTACGGAATGGACGACGGCTGTTGTCCACGGGGCAAATGACAAGTCCCCTCGATGGAGGCATACATTATTGCTCGGGGCTCTGCTCCTGGCTTTCCAATCAAAAGACTTCGAAGGACTGGCTTCAGGCTTGAAAAATAAACTCGAAGTTGCGCTGGTGGTCGCGTCAAATCTGGCCCTGCAAGACAAAGATGCTGAGCCTAATTGTGAGCTGGCTGTGGTCTTTGTCTTGAACAATACTTTCCCTCTCCTCTCAGACGTCCACCGGCAACAGATCAGTTATGATGTGCTTCTGCCAATACTGGTCGACGCGACGTTCTTCTCTCGGGAGGGTCTTGAGCATGGCTACTGGCTTGGGGTAATCGACTACGATGTCCGACCGTCTCCTGAGCAGAAATTCAACTGGAACGCCAATTCCACGTCTTTCCGCAAAGTCACCGAGATCAGATCGAGAAACCTCGTATCTGGACTAGGCGCTTTATCGCGCTTTATCGCCCACAGTATCGAGAACGTCCACGACCAATCCCTCATCATCTACTGCGTAAACAGACTGGCTGAGTTTTCACGCACTTTTGCCACTGCGTGGAGACAGAACAAGCTGTCCGAAGTTGACACCAAGGAAGAATCGCAATGCTTGGACCAGGAGACTATCAACAAAACCTTCCCGGTTCTGCTGCAGGTGCTGAGAGACACAATGTTCTCCGTGGTCATCAGTCTCCGATCTGTGCTCGGAAGAGTGCTCTGTGACAGGGTTCTAGCATCTGATTCGAATTGCCCGGGCATAGCCATGCAATCTTTACACATTTTGCGTGACACATACTTCATAGCACATCGGTTCGGCCTCACCTCGTCCTCACAGTACGTCTTCGTCAACTTCACAGCCATCGATATCCTGAGTCAATACCCACTGCAATCGGAGAATTTCCTGGACTCAATCCGACCGGTTGATCTAGGTCGGATTCCTCCTCATCCCCTCGACCGACTCCAGGATCTCTTCTTCCTCAACACTGCCGAACATTTCACCTTGATACTGTCACCACAAACTAACAAGGACCTCCTCTTTAATGCGGCTGCACCGTATGTTGACCCACAGGGAGATTCACGGTTAGCGGAGATCTTTGAAGCTGCTCACAGTGTAGTGTTGGCCATCCTTGCCGCACCCCAAAATGCTGAGCTTGCGTTGACAATGGTACCATTTTATGTCGAGACACTGCTCCAGAGCTTTCCAAAGCCACTTTCGCCACGTCAGTTCCGGTTAGCTATCAGATCCGTTGTCCGTCTTGCAGCACCGCCGTCTGCCGTTGCCGTCTCTATGCCTCATACACAGGCCGTTGTTCTTGATTTGCTCAGAGAACGCATGGAGCATGCGTCAGAAGATTTACTTCCTCCCAACCCAGATCTTCCCATCGAGAATAGTCAACCTTTGTCTGAAAAGGCTGTTTTACTTCTTGCGATAATTGATTGTTTGAGTTTTCTGCCGGTTCCATTATTGGAGGAACATCTTCCTTTAGCTGCGGAGCTCCTGCACAAGATCGGGAACCCAAGTCAAAGAATACAATGTCAGCGGCGACTTTGGGACACGCTCAGCAATGGCGAGATGGATGTTGAGCGTGCTGCAACTTGCGTTACTTGGTGGACTTCTAGGGGAGGTCGAGAGCACGTCCTTTACGGAGATCAGCCGGAAGACCAAGATTTCAGCATGAGTGGTGCATTGCAGTTCGACAATAAACTGTAAGACACTAGGGTTGAACGGGCGCCCTTTCCTCCCTCAATGCTGGTTGTTTGTCAAGGTCTCTAGCTCTGAGAATGCTTGTCCGCGTTGCTGAACAAAGCAACAGGGATGAACCCCAGACGGTTTGCTCTCGGTGAGCACGATCACAAAGCATGGCCACCATACGAGAACAGATCTGGCTACAAATAATTTTGCGCATATTCAGAACCCGTCATCCAACTCAATATCCTTCTCAAACCTCTCGGACCAGTTCTACTTGCAGCCAAGTAGAGATTCTTGTCACAATGGGTTCACTCCGACGCACCAAGAACTTCGCAAACGACCCTCAAACCCCGATATTCCTCTACACGATCCTCAAACAGCTGGACCTCAGGTCGATCAACTGGAATGAAGTCGCAGGCTGTCTCGGTATCTCTAATGGCCACGCCGCCCGGATGAGGTACAGCCGCATGAAGTCGCAATTTGAAGGCACGTCCAACCAAGTCAAGCCCCCGAAACCCAAAAAGGAGACCACCAACACGGCCGACAGCAAGACTTCCAAGACCAAACCCAAGAACAAGCGCCTGATTGAGGAGGAAGAGAATGAGCGGCTGGCCAACCAGCGAGCGGCGTATCAACATGTCATGCAACCAGACCATGACCCCAAGAGAATCAAAGTCGAGCCCCAGTCCTACATTCATCACCCCTGGTATTCTATGTACACGCCAGATGCACCGCAGATGTACCCAAGCCCATTCTGGGGTCACCCAACCATGCCAGTCAAAGCCGTGCCGCAAACTTCGTTCGGAATGCCTGGGCTCCCTGCTCACAATGTCAATCCTACACCTGTTATCAAGACAGAGCCGAACACGATTCCGAAAGCTTGCCACGACGTTGAGACGGCGCCTCCAGCCATCAAGCAGGAGGACGAGGGGTCTGCAGGCGACCGCGGGGGAGCTGACGTCGGCGCCACAATCGTGAAGAAGGAACCAGGAACAACCATGGAAGATGAGGCATTGGCTACCACTGTCAGCCGCAATAGTGTCTCAGTCAACTATCCCCTCTCACGGACGATCAACACCTTCTTCGGTCCTCAGCAAAGTGTATCGACCTCAGCACCAAGCCGTTCGTTCCCTGCGGACATATCTGCATTCTCAACAGCACAAAACTTCTCACGTGGCTCTGTCTCCCACCCGCCATTCTGTGGCCATAGTCAGAGCCAGAATGCTCTTCCCTGGTCCACCGCTTGTGCAAGTCAGAATTCTGTTACCACTTCGACGGATGATGCCTACGACCAAATGGTGTTGAATCCTTATGCCGTTTCATACCAAGACATGCTGAATATGCCGTTGTACAGAGTGTACACAGGGGCATCCCCTCCGCAAATGTCACATGCAAAAGCTCAAAATATTGCACCTGCACATCAGTCGGGTGTGGTTGAAGCACCAAACGCCGGGCAAAATCAAGACAACAATCATGGATGCCCATCGTCTACTTCCTCGACAACCGCAACAGCGCCGCCGGCAGGGAACCCGACAACGAAGAACAGCGATGGAGGAGCCAGCACCAGAACGTCAGTCACGCCGTTGGACACCTTCAACACCTACAGTGAATCTGCGGCACATGCAGACACTGGTGGCAAGCTACCAGATATTCCCGACATTGTCGAAGTGGACTCAGATGATGAGGGTGAGGGAAAGGTTCAGACTTGTTTGACAACAGCAGCCGATTGCGTGGCCGGACCCAGGATCAAGAAGGAGGGTGTAGGGTTGTAAGACCTGACGAGTATCCGTACGCAAAGGCGTCGAGGCGGATTTCTGAGTGACTTGGTGCGATTGGGTTGGTGATGGGATTTGTCCTGCCGACAAGACGAAAGGAGATGGGGGATTGTATGTCGTTCGCAGATAGATTCTTCCTCTGTCATAGACCACCAATCTACTTGATATAGCTTTGCCGTCGTCCATCGTCCTCCTATTCCAGTTTGTTTCTGTGGTGTTGATGCCTGAAGCTGCCTGGATGGCGGCCTGAGGCCCAGATGCGGGGGATCCAATCAGCAAACAACTTCGCAGGCTGAGAAATTCCGCTTCTCGCCTCCGCCGCCGATTGTTGGGAACGTCATGGCACCATCCCATATAATTCACCATCCAGAACATCTCTTCTCCAGACCTACTTCTCACTATTGCAAGAGTCCATCATGTAAAGAGAATTGTCCCCTGCAACCGTCCATCGCCCCCAAACATGTTCTCATCACTCACATCTCTGTCGTCCTTCGGCCGCGGCTTTGGCCGGAGCTCGACCTCAGCGGCAGACGCAATCAAGATTCCTCCCGTCGAGGTCCACGATGTGGAAACGTCGACGGACAAGCAAGGGCGTGCTCTCAAGCACCTGCTGAAGCTCAACCATGTGAACTTTTCGATCCTGTACAATCACTTGAGGTTCCACAACCACACGCCTCACGTAGGAGCTGCCCATCCCCGGCATCGTCCGCTTCTGATATCCCATCTTTCACCTTTGTTCCGCTTTCCAGCCCCTTTACCTGCCCACTGTTGTACATTACTCACTATGTGCGATCGTCTAGATCCTCGGCTCTGCGTACCTCCTCTCCTCTTCGGCGGACCACTTACACGCCGTCTACGAGGACGCCGCGGCGAACGAAGGCCATGAGCACTGGGTCGATTCGCCCTCCGAGATCGCCCCGCACGACTACCGCGACTACCTGGGCAAACGCGAGTACCAGCGTGCGTTCGTGGATTTCTTCGAGGACCAAGTTGTGCTCGCTGGCTATGACTGGAAGCGGGTGGTCGAGAAATTTCTCTTCGAGAGGGGCAACGCGAAGAAGGGTGAGCTGAATGCAGAGCCGATCTTCAACTGTTTGACCGGGGGGTTGGGCCATCCGTTGATTCATCTCGGGTATGCGTATGAGCTGAATAGCCGCGAGGTGGCGATGGAGGCGCTGGGGCTCGCGGCGACGTGCTACGACGAGAAACTCGCAAAGCTGCTGGAGACGGCGACGTCGGCGTCGCAATCGGCCAATCCGCCGACGTACTCGACGAATGACCTGTTCGAGGTCTTTGCCCGGGTTCACGGAGACAGCCGTCTCGACGGAGTATTCGAGCACCTGGGCGATGCCAACCTCACGCACTTGCTGAGCGATCCCGCGCTGACGGCGATCCTGCTCGAGCACTTTCGGGCGTGGCAGATTGTGGACCCGACAAAGGACTTTGCGCAGTCGCAGGCGCTGGCGACCGCGCTGCTCATCGCCAGCGCGCCCAGCGTCGGCGGCCACGGGTGGGACTTCTTCCTCGTGCACCTGCTGACGACGTCGCACGCCGTGCGCATCCTGGTCCCCTTCCTGGACGCGCCGCACCACGTGCCCCTGGTGCGGGAGTGGCTGCTGATCGCGCTGGCCATCTACATCGCCCAGCTCCGGCCGCCGATCAAGAAGGAGCCCGTCGCGGACTTTGACCTGCGGGGCCGCGGCTGGGACTACGTCGCCCGCGAGGCCGTCGGGAGCAAGTGGAAGTTCGACGCGCACTTCGTCAAGGCGTGTCGCGCCATGCGCGAGGCCGCGAGGGTCTGGGGCGACGACGACGAATTCTACCTCAAGGCCGCGGTCAGGTTTGCCAGCGAGTTCAACGACTGGGGCGGCTTCGGCGTCGAGGAGGAAGGCACGGGGGAAGTGAGCACAGAGACGGCCGAGACGAAGGCTTGACGTTCGGGGGAGGCTCTTGGGACCAGTTTGATATCTACATAATACCACCCGAGGTACCACATACGCCAGGATGGAACCCGTTGAGGACAGGGAAAAATTTGGGACATTGACCCTTTTTATTGATCCAACGAAATCAGAGCAATCAAGAAAAGCATCAAACCATATAGCTCGACTGCTTCTAGGCTCAAAGGTACCTGGTATTCTTCGACCATCAGCCGTTGGAAATAAGTGATGTATCGAGTATACTGAACCTAGAAGGGAGAAGGAGCCCTCTTGGAGCGCATTAGCTGCTTGATCGGCCTTGCTCTCCGGTTTGACCGGGCGGGCTTGTTGTTCCCCCTCCTTTCTATTCTGTTGTGCCTGATTGCTACAACCTGCGGTTGTGCAAGGCGGACATAAGGCACTATCAACTTGCTTCATCTGAGCCGCCCTGGTATCCCCAGCCATCGCCAACTCCGGGCACATGGACACTGCAACAGAAAACGAGCTTGCAAGCAAGCGCTGCGTGACGGCAGGAAATGTTCATCCAGGCTGACCTGCGCTTGGTCGACACTCATGACATGATCCCTATCCCGTCGTACATGGAACGCATCCGACAGGGAGCGCTCAATCCCACAGCCCAACCTGTGTCAATCAGGTCACGCCCGTGGTCGGCCAAGTCGATGGTCACAATGCCTTTGGATTTCTGTGTGCTCATCTGGGCATGAAGCATGCAATTGAGATGGCTCGCACGTACGGGGTGGGCATGGTCAGTATCAAGCATTCAAACCACTTTGGTATGTCTGCTTGGATCGTGCAGCAAGCCATCGACGCCGGCATGATGTGTCTAGTGTTTACCGACTCGAGTCCGGCGCTGCCAGTCTGGGGAGGTAAGGAGAAACTCGTGGGCGTAAGTCCCATTGCTTGTGGTGCGCCTGCAGGACAAGCGCCACCATTTATCCTTGACATGGCGCCCAGCGTCGCAGCCAGAGGAAGATCTACAAGGCCAAGCGGTGTGGAGAAAAACCCCTCTTGACTGGGCGTTGGATGAGGAGCAGACGGATGACCCGAGGCGGCACTGGGAGGCGTCATGCTCCCTAGGAGCGGGCCCAAGGGGTTGGGTCTCTCAATCATGATGGACGTCTTCGCGGGGGTGCTTTCTGGCAGTGCGTTTGCCAGCCATGCAACCAATCCGTACGACCCCAGCAAGCCCGGCGATAGGCCATTTCTTCATCGCCATCAAACCTGCTCTCTTCATGAGCCTGGAAGAGTTTAAGAACCGCATGGACTATCTGTACCAACAGGTTGTGGGATATCGAAGATGGAGGGTTTCGGCCGAATATTCTTTCCGGGGGAGATCGAACAGATTACGGCTCTGGCGAGAAGGGAGTCGGGGATTCCTTTAGTCAAAGCAGAGATCGATGCAATGACGCGGAGGCTTTAAGGGTGGGCAAACAGCAGCTGGTGCTTCTGGGGACTTGAACCCCCTTTGACTCCTGCCCGTCTGTGGCGCTGGGGCCTGGGATGGGATTTCCAGGGGCTGACAAAACAATTGCATTTTGTTGCGCATGGGAATTTGGGGCCTCCGTCAGTGGCGTAGGAGCGTAGTAGCGTGTGTTCCGCCCAACTGCGTGATCCAAGCGCCCCGTAAGACTTGTCCAACTCTTCAGCAAGCGAGATCGTTCGCCACCTACGCGAACAAGCCATTTTCGTCATCTCGCATGGTGGCCTGGGGTGAAAAAAGGGGGGTCGTCTGAGGGGTCATGGTTCCAAGTTCTCCTTGAAGCAATGTCAGTCATCTCGATTTACTCCTCTAGGAAGCGTAGCATGAAGACCATGCCTAGTTATCCATATCGTCCAGGCCTAGGCTGGACACGATTGAAGCCCCAAAGACATAAGATTGGAACCAGAGAAAGTCTTGCAGGCGGTAACTGTGCTTCACTAGCCTAGGTTCGTTGGTGTGTGACGGGGAGTCGTCAAACAAGGGTAGCATGTGGAGAAGTTGGTACGTTAGGAATAGTGTTGCGCCCAGTAACGAGAGAGGGACGATGAAGACACCACTGTTCGACTTTCGGGATCCTCTTTTCACAGACAGGGGGAGAGAAAATCCATGGATAGATCTTCCCGTCGTTGAGAAGGTGGTGGTCGTGTCCCGCGCCACGCAGCCACCCAAACCTGCGGGCTCGCTTCTCTTCCCACCTTCCCTTCACACTGCTTGGCCGTCACCGTAACCACTACTACCACAACTTCAATCTTCTCACCTGCGCCATACGAACACGATCCTGAACCTCGTATATTCATATCCCACTCTTTTTTCTCACCTGATTTCGGCGTCGATGCTGCATCTGCAACTATCGCCTCCCATCCTACCTAAATTCCACCTTCCAATTGCCTTTGTCCGGCGCACTGGTACAACACGGTCACTCTTGACGATCGCCACGCTTGAGATCAATTGACCCTTTGACAGGGGCTTCGCCCTACCACATCTACAGCTTGACGGTGTCTTCTGGTCCTGTTAGCCCCTGGGCAACCTTCCTACATTTCTATCCATCCTCTGACGACATTTCGCGCATCGATTCATACCTAGACCCGAATTCCTCCCGCCCGACTTATCCCTCTAGTCAACATCAGCAGGCTTCTATCCGATTGAATTTGCCTGCAGTCTTCCTCAACCTTGTTCACAATCGACTGCGGTACTTCGTTGCGCCGACGAGTTGGAGCTACTCGGGTGACGGTTGACGACGAAAGTCTACTCAGTTCTGGTGGAAAGATCCAATACATCGCAGCTGGTCGAGACCCAGAAGAGGGAAACAAATAACGGAATTCGGTGGGTGCACCAATATGCGGGTGTTCTAACGCCTTCATCCATGTCCTCGCCAGCACACGTCGCTCGTGGGTACCAACACAAGTGCCCAAGGGACTTCTATCTCTCGCGTCCTCGAACTTGCCTCCGGCCCTGGAGAAGATTCTACAAACATGTCGGGCCAGGCTTCCCCCGACTCTTCGGATCCCTTCAAGGACGCAAATCCTTTACCACCACCTACCCAAGGAAAGGCCAGTAGTTCGGCCTCTCCGACCCTGCGCCAGCATCAAACACCTCCAACATGGATACCTATTGCACCCATTCAGTCACATGTCAGCATGTTCACGGGACGATCTGATGCTGAACCACCGGTATCGCCTTCGCTATCGGCAAGATCGGATGAAGGCAAGTTGACATTGAGTCCAGGGTCTATTAATCGTGTCTTCCCTGTCCGTTCGACCGTTTCCATCGATCCCGTCGCTACTCCAATGCCTCGAATGGATTTAGCTGGTGGTTATCCGGGGATGAGACCTCCGACTGGCTCTAGAACCGCGAGCCGCAGTATTCTGGGACGTGTGTCCACTTCCACAAGGCACGCGTCAATATCGGAAGCGTCAGATGCTGGCTCTATGACCCCTTCTTTTGGAAATGTCGACCATCAGCTTCTGAATAATATCATTGCGGATGATGTCTCCAACAAGTCGGAAATCTCGAGCTTGTCCGGTGGGGTACCACTCTCAGCAGCGTCGGAACCAGGGTTGGTCACGGCACGCTTCAAGCATGTTGTGACCGACGGTGGCCATGCTGTAGTTACGGGAAGGGATGGGGAGACGTTACAGAGATGCGAAGATGAGCCAATTCATATTCCTGGCGCCATTCAGAGTTTTGGTCTTCTCATTGCTTTCCGCGAAGAGAACGAAAAGCTGGTCGTACGTGTGGTCAGCGAGAATTCGGCTAAAATTATCGGATATACCCCTCATCAACTTTTCAAACTCGAATCATTCCTCGACATTCTCAGCGAAGATCAAGCAGACAATTTGCTGGATCACCTGGACTTTATCCGCGAGGAGGGTGCAGGAGATGTGGTCGCAAATGGACCGGACGTTTTTCTCCTGTCGATCAAACCTCCGCAGGCTCGAACCCGGAGATTATGGTGTGCCATGCACCTGTCCGAGACAGATTCCGGGTTAGTGATCTGTGAGTTCGAGATCGAGGACGACACAAGGAATCCGTTGGTTTCGCCAGAGGACATCACTCCACCAGTCCCTGAAAACACTCTTGGAAGTAATCCTACCGTGGAAGAACTCATGGACAGCACTGTCAACATTAGCAAACCCTTACGCGTATTGCGGAGCGCTCGTAAGAAGAGAACCGAGGCAGCAGCAATGGAAGTATTCAACATAATGTCCCAGGTACAGGAACAACTTGCCAATGCGCCAACCCTACAAACCTTTCTTAAAGTCCTCATTGGGATTGTCAAAGAACTGACCGGCTTTCATCGTGTCATGATATACCAGTTCGACAACGCCTGGAATGGGAGAGTGGTTGCAGAACTGGTTGATCCTCGATCGACCAAGGACCTGTACAAGGGCCTGAACTTTCCCGCATCCGACATACCCAAACAGGCGCGAGATCTGTATAAGATCAACAAAGTCCGCCTGCTCTACGATCGAGATCAGGAGACAGCCCGACTCGTGTGCAGGACCGTGGAAGACCTGGAGAAGCCTCTCGATATGACACATGCCAACCTCCGCGCGATGTCTCCGATCCACCTGAAGTATCTCGCCAACATGGGCGTCCGGTCATCCATGTCGATCTCAATCAACGCCTTCAATGAACTGTGGGGATTGATTTCTTGCCATTCATATGGAGCCAAGGGGATGAGGGTGTCGTTCCCCATCCGCAAGATGTGTCGGTTAGTCGGTGACACGGCCTCTCGAAATGTGGAACGACTTTCCTACGCTTCCAGGTTGCAAGCTCGTAAACTTATCAACACCTCCTCTACCGCAACAAACCCGTCGGGGTATATCGTGGCCTCATCCGACGACCTATTGAAATTGTTCGACGCTGATGTCGGTGCACTATCTATTAGGGATGAGACGAAGATCCTGGGCCACCCCCGAGGCCACCTCCAAGAGGTCCTTGCCATGGTCGAATACCTTCGGATGAGAGGGATGAGCGCCGTGTTCTGCTCCCAGGACATCAGCAACGATTTTCCTGATCTGCGATACGAACCGGGCTGGAAATTCCTGGCGGGTGTCCTTTTCGTCCCTCTGTCGACTGGTGGCAATGACTTTATTGCTTTTTTCCGTAAAGGTGTGTTGCAAGAAGTTAAATGGGCTGGCAATCCCTACGAAAAGTTCATCAGGGAAGGAACTGAAGGCTACCTTGAACCCAGAACAAGCTTCAAAGCGTGGAGCGAGACCATCGTAGGTCGATGTCGAGACTGGACGGACGAGGAGATAGAGACAGCGTCGGTCCTGTGTCTTGTCTACGGCAAATTCATCGAGGTCTGGCGGCAGAAAGAAGCGGCCCTTCAAAACAGTCAGCTCACTCGTCTTCTGCTTGCGAATTCCGCGCATGAGGTTCGCACCCCGTTGAATGCAATCATTAACTACCTGGAGATCGCGCTCGAAGGCCAGCTGGACCAGGACACCCGAGAGAACCTGGCTAGGTCCCATTCCGCCTCGAAATCGTTGGTTTATGTCATCAACGATCTGCTGGACCTCACGAAGACAGAAGGGGGACAGACCCTGGTCAAGGATGAGCCTTTCAACCTCCCTCAGACCTTGAAGGACGCCTCTGATCCTTTTATTGGCGATGCGAAGCGAAAAAATCTACAGTACGAGGTCTCGATCCAGCCCGAGCTGCCTCAACAGGTCATGGGAGATTATCGACGAGTTCGACAAGTGGTGTCTAACCTCATTGCGAATGCGATACAGCACACAAAAGAAGGAAAAGTCGTCGTCGAAGCGTATACTTTGCCCACTGCACAAGCGCAGGGCAAGACCGAGATCGAAGTCGTCGTCGAGGATTCCGGGGTAGGGATGTCTCAGACCAAAGTCGACGCCTTGTTTAGAGAACTTGAAGAAGTTTCCTACGAAGAGGATCTGCAGAGCCATACAGCCATCACGAGTGATAGGTTCGTCGATAAGGCGCAATCCGAAAACATGGCTCTCGGTCTCGGGCTCGCTGTTGTAGCACGTACCATTCGGAATATGAATGGGCAGTTGCGAGTGAAAACGGAAGAGGGAAAAGGCTCCCGATTCGTCATTGTTCTAAGCTTTGATAATGGAGGGTCCAAGCCCGCTCAACTCGACCATCGTCCTCAATCATCAGGTGCAGTTTCTCGACCTTCCACTTCTGGAGGACACCGTGAAGGCGAAGTCACCTTGATCTACCAGAACCTGCCAAAAGCCTCCGAGCCGCCTCCCTTGCTTCGTAGAGAAAGTGCTGGGAGCATGAACAGCCTGGCAAGTCTGAAGAGCGGAAAGAGTGGGCTCAGCCTCAAAAGCGATGCGAGCCAGAGGAGTGACGCGGACAGACTCATTGACGCTATTCAGCAGCCTTTGCACCTGGCTGAGCAACCGAATAGCAGTTCTAGTCTTAGCGCCAAAGACTCTCGCCGCATCTCTCTAAATCTATCAGAAGCCTCCCCAAATGCTCCCAAATCGAAAAGTCTCCCCTCTCCAAGAGAACTGAAGTTTGCGTTCTCTCGGACACCAGGGTCCGAGAAGATAAAAGACTCTGGGACTCCTCTGCGACCTATCCGAGTACCTAATAACCAGCCTGAACAGCCGAGCGGATCAATATCTGGCCCCAAGGTCCTTTTCGAAGAGCCGGAATCTGTAGGCACAAGATCTGATACAACCGAAACGCCGAAAGCAACATCATCCGATAACTTCTCGGTCCTAGTCGCGGAAGACGACCCCATCAACAGCAAAATAATGAGGAAACGTCTAGAAAAGCTTGGACACGCGGTCCATCTGACGGTGAATGGTGAGGAGTGTTCCTCGGCCCACGGTGAACAGCCAGCCTCATTCGACGCCATTCTGATGGACCTTCAAATGCCCATTGTGGACGGATTCAGCTCCACAAAGATGATTCGGTCATTCGAGAAAACCCACGGCAAGTCGTGTCTCTCCAGTAGAGCTGGGCACAACGGACGGATTCCTATTTTTGCGGTCTCTGCTTCGCTTGTCGAGAAGGAGCACGCCAAATATGTGCAAACAGGCTTCGACGGGTGGATATTGAAACCGGTGGATTTCAAGCGTGTGGACTTGCTGTTAAAGGGGATTGTCGACGAGGACGCCCGGAACGAATGTGTCTACGAGCCGGGCAAATGGGAGAGGGGAGGTTGGTTTTCCCCGCGGGACGAACTACAAGACCCTTTTGGTATCAACACCAAGCCGAGTCAGGAGAAGCCTACCAAGCAAACAGAACAAAGTGATCACGAAATGTCGGGAACCACATCGGCCGAGCAATCACCACCTTCAGAGGCAACTGTTGTGCCAGTCAACGAAACGACATGATGAATGCTGCCGGTGGAGGAGTGAGGTATACCCTCGAACAGTCTGGGAGTCCCTTGGAGGAATGTATCCTGCCTCATTCCTAGATATTTGATACGATACGTGTGTATGAAATGTGTCACGAATTGTGCGACGAGTCCTCTTTTGAAGCAAGGATCAAACAGGTCGACGTTGGGAGCAGAGGCATTCTCGTGTCTGCAACCTGGGTTACAAAGAGTGTCGACTAGATATATCGAGGCGGATCGTCGTCTCCTTAGAAGCTGAGTGTGTATACCCATGTTATTCAATCATGTTTAATGAGAAGACCAACCTGATGCAAAGGGTGCAAGCCTTGTTCTCTCAAGACGCCGTATACCACAATACTCGGCTGCGAATCTTGACCTCTCACACTCTCCAAGTCCCTTTCCGTTTCCAGCAGCTGTCTGTGCACTAGCAAGCACCGCGGTTGCAGCCGTGATGACTCCGTGATCCGTCCTTTTAGTACGAGTTTCTAGCTCTAGATCCAGCCGATGAGATGGCTCACCATCCAGCACTCTAAGGAACTCCTAGTATTAAAAATGCTGATGGCTACCTGCTCGTAGTGCTAGGCCAGCCTTTCCGACCTTCACCCATCCGCAAATACCGTACCTCGCCAACAAAATGCCTCTCTCTGTTGACCCCGAATACTATGAAGCAGTGGCGCCCCTGCTCCCAGCCGTAGCGACGTTGCCGAAACCGGCACTGCACGACGTTCAAACACATCGGGAAAGGGGCGTCGCCGAGCTCGGTCTCCTAATGAGTCGCGTCGCGCCGGCAAAGGATGTGGACCAGAGCGTGCACGAAGTCGAGGCCGCCGACGGGTTCAAGATTCCGGTCCACAGGTTCGTCGCAAAGACCACCCGCTCAGCGCTGGGCCCGGCCATTCTCCATTGTCACGGCGGGGGGATGATTCTTGGGTCGGTCCCGGCTTTTGCACCCGCCCTGGCCTCGGTGGTCGAGCGGACCGGAGTGCCTGTCTTCAGCGTCGAATATCGCCTGGCGCCCGAACATCAAAACACGACCTTGGTAGATGATTGCTATGCTGCGCTGATCTGGCTCACCCAGAATGCGAAGCAGTTCAACATCGATCCAGCCAGGATAGCGGTCATGGGGGAGAGCGCCGGAGGTGGCATCGCCGCCGGGGTGGCCCTGATGGCGCGAGACCAGAACCTGCAACCCCCTCTTGCAAAGCAGATTCTCGTCTATCCCATGCTGGACGACCGCAACATGGTCGCTGACAAGGCGATCGAGCCCTATGCGCTTTGGACCAACGACGACAACGTCACCGGCTGGACGGCGTTGCTCGGGGGTCGAGCAGGAAAGGAGGACGCCGACGTCTCCCAGTACGCGGCCCCGGCGCGGGCGAAAAGCCTGGCTGGACTGCCGCCCACGTTCATTGACGTGGGCGGGCTAGACATCTTCCGCGACGAGGACATGGCATACGCCACCAGGCTTGTCGCGGAGAACATCGACGTCGAGTTCCACCTGTACCCCGGGGTGCCGCACGCCTTTGAGTTTCTTGCGCCCGAGACGAGTGTGGCGCAGCGGGCACACGCAAATCGACTGGCGGCGATGCAGAGCTTCTAGAAAGAGTGTTCAGATAAGAAGACCTGTCAGCAATTACCCTCTCCGCTGCAGGTGAGGGAATGGCGTTGCTCACTGCCCTTGCCGGTCCTGGATGTCGAGCAAGTCGAGGGAGTGTTTGCAATATAGAGTACAACTATACCTAGACGGCGCCGATTGAATGAGCAGAGCTTCAATGGTGGAGATTTCTCCGATTGACTGCAACCTTGCCACTCCATCCATCACTGACGTTCTGACAAGTTATCGTGGAGAGACACGATCATTGCTGCACCACCAACATCTAGTCCATGGATGGATTTATACATATGTCTGTGACGTGATCTTGAGCCTATGGTCCACGACTTGAACCGTGGGGACATGGGCCATTCGACGGCGACGGCGAGATCTGAGAGTTCAAATCCACCCCAGAGCCCTCTCTGTAACACATCTTCATCCTCGGCCCTCGGGGTCGATTGTACCGTCGGATGCGGCGGACGAGGTCATTGTACGGGCGACACGCGAGAGGATGATTCAAGCTCCGTACAGCAAGCTCTGTGAGATCAGCACCGGAAGAAATGGAGAAGTGGATAGGAAATTGAGCAGGTGGTCAAGGAAAGCTTTTACTAGCCGGGTAGATAGGCAGGTAGGGTACTCTGGAGACGTCTTACCGCATCTTACCGCATCTAGCCCCGCGTAGAGAGCTGTCAGCAAGTGTTCCTTGAGCTCTGATGGAGATATCGGAGATCTTTCAGGAATCAGGAATTGGAAGTCCCTGGTCCCCCATCTGGGTCCACAGTCGGAACTAGTCCTGTTCGGGGGTGAAAGAGTATCGCGAATCGCGGTGTTGCGTTGGTCGAACTCCATTTAAACGCGTTCACTATTCATAGCACCTTCAGCTTCATCTTTTGTCTTTGCATGGCCTAGACGGGTATTCAGCGAAGTCACCGCCTGGCCAATCCCTTGACCGACTCTCCCCCCTCCTTGTGTTCGTGGCTTCGCTTCCACTCCGCAACCCTACGATACCGTCTAATGACTCCACCTTGGGACCTTTTGCCGGCTCGCCTTAGAATGAGGACCGCCACTATCTCCAGAATACCATCCGCCTTCGCTTCCCATCGTAAGAGATAAGCTCTTTGCCGCGGCTCGGCCCTATTCATATCTCTCTACCGCTATCTCAAGTGCGAGCTCCGCAAGAGCGATGAGTTGGAGGTGTTGGCCGAATACTGAATGTCATGATGCGATGCATCCTTTTGATTCCAATCCAAGGGCTGTCTGGCACGGCCCCAGACCTTGACGCGTTTAAGAGACTACGAAGCGCGCCCGCACCCCACCGTCCTGCTCACCCATGGACAGGGCTCGGGCGTGCCCTCTATGGTTGGCGTTGTGCAGGGTGTCTGAGGAGAGCCCGCGGCGGTGATGCTCAAAGAACACAAATATCAGGGGTCTCGACCTGACTGCATCTTTCAGATTCCTATTTCTGTGTCTTCCTCCGCACATTGACCGTGGCCGTAAGGGAAGAAATATGATGGATGACGACCGTTCAAAGCCACCACAGAGTAAACCCCCTACCTTTCTTCCGCTTCTTTCGAACCACGCGCAGCCGGTTGATTCATCTTGCAGAACCCACAGCCATGTCGATCACCGAGACCAAATTCGAGACAGGTCTCGAGGAGGTCTCCTCCATCGAGCAAAGCGAGGTGAAGGTGCTGAATCTCACCAAGGCCAATGTCAAGGCCAATATCGGCCCGTTGAGTTTGATCGCGCTGGGCTTCAACATCTGCAACAGCTGGGCCGGTGTGGCGGCAACATTGCAGATTGTCATTCTGCAAGGCGGGCCGGTGACCCTCCTCTATGGCATGTTCATCAGCACCGCCGCTGCACTGAGCCTCGCTCTTACATTGGCCGAGCTGGCTAGTGTCTATCCTACGGCTGGTGGGCAATATCACTTCGTCTCCATTCTTGCCCCGGAGAGGACGGCCCTGCTTTTATCCTACATCTGTGGAATCTTCGCCGTCTTTTCCTGGGTGGCCATTGGCGCTGCAGTTTTGATGGTTCCGGCCGAACAGATCGTTGCCATGGCCGCCGCATATAACCCAGGCTACGTGCCCAAGGCCTGGCACGAATTTCTCATCTACCAAGTCCTGGCCCTGTTTGTGCTAGTGATCAATATCTTTGTCCTAAAGAGGACCCCGCGGCTCCACGATGTCGGATGTAAGTCGATCGACTCCTCTGGCCTTCGACTCGATGCTGATCTCCTTGTTCGCCATACAGTCGCTCTCACCCTCACGCTGTTCGTGACCACCTCCATCACACTCCTCGCTCGTTCCTCTCCCAAGGCACCCTCGGAGTTCGTCTGGGGCACCTTCATCAATGAGACGGGCTGGCCGGATGGGCTCTGTTTCCTCACCGGCCTCCTCACGACGGCTTTCATGTTTGCGGGCATCGACTCCACGCTCCACCTCGCCGAAGAGTGCCAGAATCCGAGAAAGGTGGTTCCTCGCGCCACAATGTTGGCGGTGACCATCGGCTTTCTCACCGCGTTCCCCTTCTCGATCATTCTTTTGTACTCGATCACGGATATCGATGCCATCTTGGAGATCTCTGGGTATGTTTCCACGCTTGGCGGGTCATGTTCCGAACAGTATACTGACCCGTGGTCCTTTAGCTACATCACATTTGAAGTGTACGCCCAAGGCATGCGGAGCGAGACGGCTGCCGCGGTTTTCACGGCCGTGGGCGTGGTTTTGAGCTGGTTTGTGCTGAATGCGATCATCCAGACGTCGAGTCGCATCACCTGGTCCTTTGCACGTGACAACGGGTTGTTGTTTTCACGATACTTGACGACCATCCACCCAAAGTTGGAGGTGCCGGTCAATGCCTTGCTCCTGAACTGGGTCATCTTGGTGATTTGTGGCTGTATCTTTGTGGCCTCCCAAACCGGTGAGATTGTCTCCGACTACTCGCCTCCATTCGACGAACTGAACCCTCAATTAGCTTTCAATGCCATCCTCTCCTCCGCGTTTGTCCTCCAGCAGATCTCTTTTATTCCTCCGGCCGCCCTCCTCCTGTATCGACGACGGTCGCCCGAATTTTTGCCTCCGAATCGAGCCTTCCGCCTTCCCCCGGTGATCGGCTGGACCGCCAACATCCTCGTCGTGTTGTTTGGACTCCTGTTCATCGGAGTCTTTTGCATCCCGCCGTTCAGGCCTGTCACAGCCGGCAATATGAGTACATCTCACTTTTCGAGTGCTCGCACTTTCCTTCGTTTCGTTCTTTTTTTCTGCCTGCTACACATACTGACGCCAAATTTAGATTATAGTTCCGTGATGATTGGTATTGTCGGGGTGATAGTCATCATCAATTGGTTCCTACATGGCCGAAGGCACTATCACGGCCCCAGGATCGAGCTTCAAGAGTAGAGCCGCGTGTAAACAGTCTCGATTCCTGCAAAAGTGGTGGCTCTATTGAATCGGTCTCTACAAGACCCGCAACCGTCAGTCTGTGGACACCACCCTTGATCCATGAAAGACGTCAGCCAGAGCCAATTGAACATGCTCTCAGTTTCAACTCTATTCTTTGCTTGGGGGCCAAGTGGTCAAAAGCCGGACGTCGAAGAATTATCATGTTCGATTAAAGGCATTGCTTCGGGTAGAACATGACATGCCTGTGATATACAAGTGCCTATTCAGGCCGTCGATACATACCCCTTACGGCAAGGCGCTGTCGGGCATACGCCGAATACCTGGAAACGGGCTCTATAAGACTGCTGTTTCGAGCCCTCAGGCAAGCTCCCAGACCGCGGTTCCCTGCTGCTTCTGACGGCGATTTCGGAGGCCGAGTGTGCACCTTTTCGGCCTGGGCCATGTGGGTTACTTCCGGCTAGATATAGGTGTTTGGTAGATTGTTCGATTTTGGTTCCCTTTTCGCCTTTATCTAGCCCCCCCC